CCCAGGCAGGTCCCAGTTCTGAGCTCTGGATCAGGAGAATGTGCAGGGTGGCTACTGAATTCTGCCACAGGTACAGGTTTCAGTGGGTGGGGGGCGGAGGGAGGGTGACGAGCAGTGGTATGCCGCTAAATGCTTAATAACTGGCTCTCAAGAGAAAGGAGGTAAAATCCCTTATGTGTAGCTTTTGCCAGCTTCCGTGGTATGAAGACTCCCACTGTGGCTGATTTCAAGCTACCTATGTTACGTCACTGAGTGTGGAGCTGGAAAGTGATGAACACGATTAGCTCTTGCAAGCGGCCAGAGCGAGCCAACTCCAGCACTCCACTGAAGAGCTGACCTGCCTCTTGGTCTTTGCTTACTCTCTTCCCTCCACATGGCAAACTCTTCCTCCCTCTCCTCGGTGAACTCCTACTGATCCTTGGAGGCCCAGTTCAAGCATCTACTTTCCTGTAAAGCCTGCCTCAAATTTCCCAACTTCTACCAGGCCCTCAGCACCTGGCAGCTCCTTCTGCTGTGCCCCGTGGCCATCTGTCCAGGCCTGTGATGGTATACAAGCTTGCTGTACGAGCTAGACATAGAAAGGCAGACTGGACAGGATGTGAACTCCTTGAGGGAAGGCCCTCAGTGCCGGTCGTCTTGAGATAGTCAGCTGAGCACAGGGCTGGGCCCATTAACTGGGTGCTGGATAAACGAAGGAACGCAGTCAGAGGGCTGCAGCAGCAAGGTGAGGAGACTGCAGGAGCCTGTTTCAGTGACAGGGTGGTTAGTGATGCCATCACACGCCTCAGACCTGGGCTGGGTGGAAGAGTCCACCCAGGGCCCCAGTGAGGTCGGAAGGCATCTGGCTCCCAGGCAGGGTGTCTGGGTGTTGGTGCCTCTTTGGCACAGGGATCTCTTTATTCTGCTGATCTCAGTCCATAACTAATTATCCTAATGGGTTTAAATGGCCTTAAGTATTCTCAGAGTTTGGACAGGACCCATCTGGAGCCTGCAGGTGGGCTGGTCTGGCTGGCAGTGAACGGGCGAACTTTCGAAGTGGATGCTACAGGAATCCAAAGTGGCCATTCCCGTTTGTTACGAGAGGCCTGAGGCCTGCGTGGAGAAGTGTGGGCTAAGAGCTGAGGGTTGGCACACTAATGACAGCTAATGCTTGTATAGCTCTTACATGAACCAGGCACTGCTCTCAGCATTTACTCTATTAACTCACTGAGTCCTTACAACCATCCTAGGAGGTAGAAATCATTACCGTGCCCATTTCGCAGAGGAAGAAACTGAGTCGGGGAGGTTAAATGACTTTCCTAAGGTCTCATGGCCAGTTAGCAGAGGAGCTTCTGTTCTAGAGTCCCTGCCCTGAGTTACAACAAAATGCTACTTCTCGATGCGAGTGGGCCATAAAGACATCTTTGTGCCCTTACCTGGGGCCACACCTACAACCTTAGGAAGGCACGTCCAGCCTGGATCTCTTCTAGCTACGGCTCCTGTCCCCACCAGACTGACCTTGTTCTGAGGGAGTCCCACCCCAACCCATGCCAGGACCCGGAGGTACGTTACCAGAGTGGTGAAGATGAAGTGGTAGTACTCAGTCATCATGCCCATGGCCATGGCCTGCGGGAGAGCAGAGTGTCAGCAACCTCAGGGAATACCGGAGCGGCCCCCACCTCCTCACCACATCAGGGGTGAGGCCTGGGCAGCAGGACAGACTGGCATCGAGTAGGAGGATGCTGGCCGCTTGGAATGGCATGTTCTCCGAGACCCCCTCTGAATGGTGACAATGACTGGCTGGCAGACGGCAGTGGATTTCACGCGGGACTGAGCAGTGAAATCACTTGGGACAGATTAAAATGCAGACTCTTGGGCCACATTCTTCCAAGATTCCTAATTCCAAAGGGCTGCGTAGGGCCTGGGCGGTCTCTCTTTTTAGTACACACCTCTGGGCCTTCCACACTTAGAGCAATGCTGGGGGAATCAGCCCAAATGCATTCTTAGTGTCCTGACTTCACTCAGCTGAGCTCGGTGTCCAGGCCCTAGAGAGAGGTGTGGGGGAGCCTGGCCCCACAGCCCTATCAGGCCCAGGAGGTGGGTCTGTCCTCAGTCTCAGCCTCTGGGGGAGGGCTGACCACAAAACATGCCACGTGCCTGCTGCGGAATCACTATATAACATTGTGACGTCTACACTGTATACATTTTATGTATTTTATTAGAGCCCTACAGTTGATGACATTAATGACCATCATGTGTTTTCTACAGAGTTCTTCAGAATGCTGGGCCCACAAAGTGCTCTGGGGGAAAAATGCCACTGGTCGAGTACACTTAGGAAATGCTGCACATTCTCTCCCACTCTTGGAGATTTCCAAGCTGCATCCACAGGGTGAAGGCTCAGAGACGTACTCTCAGTAAGCAGACATGCTTACCTTTGTTTAGGTCAGTGTTTAGCTGAGCGCAGAATCTTCATTTTTAATTCTAGATGTTTTTGAGTCAGACAGACCTTGGAGTAAATTTTGACTTCTTGTCTCAATGGCCTCAGGCCCATTACTGTCCCTGTGGGCCTCAGTTTCCTCACCTGTCAACTGGGCATGACAACTGTCCTCGCTTCCCAGGGTGGAGTAAATGAGGACCTGCGTGTACTTGGGTCAGAGTGACTCCTCCGTAAATCAAAGCTATGATTGTCATTATTATTGTTACACACACTGGGAAGAGAAGGGACATGCTGGGCAGAGCTGGCTGGGAGGGTGGGGGTTAAGGCGCTTCTGGGGAGCGTTCACTGGCACTGAGATGAACCCTTTCCTTGCCTCATCCCACCGAATCCTCCATAACCATGTGACGTAGGGACCACTCGGTCCATCAGAGCAGGGCATGACTCCAGGGCCACTTGCCCTCAGCAGAAGCAAGATTCAGATTCTTCGATGAGCTTTTTAACTACTGTGTGTAGGAGCCTGGTGTGGGGCTTCCTCGGGGGAAGACAGAGGCTGCCATTTGCTTGGACACCTTTTGCAGGGCCCAGCTGAAGGCTGGAACTTGAATAGCCTTCCAGGCCTAAAAACAGCTCCTACCCTCCCCACTTCCCCGACTCAGCACCTCTTCTCCTGCACTCCCTGTGTCCCCTCATGGGGTCATGTGTCAGAGACCCCCAGAATGCCTCCTCCAATCACCGGGGACACTTCTGGAACCACATCATCTCCTTTTACATAAAACACGGGCTCCAATCAGAGTGTTTTGGTTTTGCTGTGGTACCTCGGAAGGGCTTGGGGGCAGTTTCGCTGTTTATTATTTCTTAGGTGGCTGGCAGAGCTTGGTTCTCATTGCCAAGAGACCATGCTGGGCTGTGTACTGGGACCAGGGCCTATCCAGGACTGGGAGCCATTCTCCTCCCCCATGGTCTCTGCAGAGCTGAGCAGATGGTGCAATGAATCTTAATAAACTTCCTAGCAATGGGAGAGTAATAGCAAATGCCACAGACTACGGGGATTAGTCACCGGAAGGGGCAGTGAGGAACTCTGGGGTTGTTCTCGAGATCCCCAGGCCTCTCTATGCTTCCTGAAGAGTTCTGTCCTGTGTGGCTTCAGGCTCCTCTTGGCAGCCCCTATCTCCTACCTGCACAGAGGTGGCATGGAAACCAGCAGTTACTCAGCACTCTCCATGCACCCAGTCTGGCTGTGGCTGCTCGTCCATCGTCTCATTCCATCCTCACACCAACTCGAACTGTAAGAACCACTGCTGCTCATGAAACTGAGGCTTGAAGAGGCAAAGTAAGCCCCCAAGGTCATACGGCCAGAAAGAGACAGACTAGGGGTCAAACTGACATCATGTTTATATTTGAGGAAGGGGTTGGACGGGAGAAGTGGCAGGCAGATCCCAAGCATCCTTCCTGCTGGCCAGCGCTCACATACCTGCTTGAGGATCTGGGCCGCCATGGTGTGGCTGCAGTCGAAGATAATGCGGAATTCCCGGCCTCGCTTCATCTCCTTGAGCAGAGGGCGCGAGTCATCAGAGTCCAGGGGCAGCTGGCGGATCTTCAGGCGGATGTTGTATCTCGATGGGGCCATGATGAGCTCCTGCAGTCGGATGAGCCCTGAGAGCCCCCGGGGCACAAAAGACACACATGTATCACATGTATATACAGCTCCAGGCATCTGCAGAATCACATGCATACACATGCTTATGGCCACAGGTCTGAAGACACACATGAACTCAGATACGTGGCCATGGAGATATGTGCATGGACACAGCCATGCGTATCCAGACAAAGGCATTAGCACACTAAGGCACAGACATGTGCACCCAGCTGTACACACCTGCACATGCACATAGATGTGTATATACATACAAACATATGTATACATGCACGTTGATAAAGGCAGAACTACACTTGGGCTGATAAACACATGCGTAAATATGTAGCTAAAGATGTGTGCATACAGATGCATATACACAGGTAGATTGAAAAGTAGGCATACACCGAGAGAAAGTTCCCACTGACTATGCCCACCTGCTCCTCTCCAACTCAGAATGGGTGTAGAGACTTATGGAGCCAGCCCTTGTAACATCACGAGGCATGGGACATAATCTTCCTAAACATCTTTAGCAATCTGCTTCTAAAATATGGGCACAAGTGGTGGCTCCAGGCTCAACTGTACCCACTTTTGGACTGAATAAGGCCAGGTGGTATCTGTGCCCAGCCTCCATACCCATCCTTAAGGGCAGACTGCCTAAGTAAACCTTACTCATTCTCGCAGGCTCAATACAACCACCTCCTCCATGAAGCCTACCCTTTCTGTTCTGTCCAGACGAGATCTTCTCCCACTCCCGAACCTCCCCCAACTCAGTGGGCTCCTCCCTCAGCACTAGTCTCCTCTATCTTCATCTCATTCCTCTCATCCTGCCCCAAGCTCCTTAACATCAGGGCCTGAGTCCCCACAACTTCTAGCACAGGGCCTGGCACTTAAGTGGCGCTCAACACAAATTTCCATAATTGGATTGACTTACTGTTTTTTCTCCTCACACTGAAAAATCCATCTTCCACCTTAGCATTTTGCAAAACCACTTAATCTGGGGACTTCCAGGGAAAACTAAATGTCACTTCCTGGAGACAAATGGCTTGCTTATGTCTAATTGAGTTCACTTCCGTCCCTACTTCAAGGTCCATTCTTGCTGATGCCTCTGCTTAGCCTGGAAGCAAGCCTGTTGGCTGCTCTCTCTGCCCTCACCCCACTGCAGGGAGGGGCTGAGCCAGCATGGAGCCAGGACCCAAACAGTCCATCTCCCTCATCCGCTGGGCTCCCTGCTCATACCCAGGGCTCATTGTTCATATCCTGCCTGCACTGCACTCAGCCATGCTCCACTCCCCCACTAACAAGACTCTAATTTTCCTTTGGGGAACAACTCCTCTCCCTCTCTCAGTCCATATGACTCAGGAAGTTCTATCCCCAGCTCCCAAGGCATAGCACGTGGGCCTAGCCTGGCCAATTCAGTATAGGCTTGGAGATGGATAATGACACTAGCTGGTTCTATCAGAGTGACTTCCGGAAATTGTGCTAGAACAACTGGTAAGATGTACTCCCTTTTCCATTGAACTCCAAATAAGGAGGAAGTAAGCCTGGAGGTCAGCACATAGAACCTGAGAAAGATTTCAACAGGACGTATGTCAGAGAGGCCAAACAGAGAGAAAATAAGTCCTGAAGATACCTACTTGACTCTCCGGATCAAACGGTACCTGAAGCTACAGTTTATTCCTGAACTTTCCAGTTATGGTGGGGAACACAATCCCCTCCCCCAATTTTTTCTCATTTTCTTTCTTTTTCTTTTTCTTTCTTTCTTTCTTTCTTTCTTTCTTTCTTTCTTTCTTTCTTTCTTTCTTTCTTTCTTTCTTCTTTCTCTTTCTCTCTCTCTCATTCTTCTTTTGTTTTGTTTTGTTTTGTTTTTTTTTGCTTAAATTAGTTTGCACTGGATTAAAGTTTGCAATCAAATGTTACATTGTCCCTATCTAGACAGATTCCCCAACACAGACAACTCACTTAAGAAGCCTAACAACAGAGAGCCCCCATTTCAAAGGCCATTTCTGGTACACATGTCTGGGTCTGTCCAGCCTCAGTCCCATTCCTGAGGTCTGGATGTTAGGAAAGCCATGTGATGGGTGTCATTCATTTCACTCTGCTGGTGAAGACAGAGATATAACCCTGGGACCTAAGCCTCCCAAAGAACTCTCAAACAAGCTTTGCCATGGCTGTGAGCATCGGGAAGCCCTGGCCCCCGGAAGGTCTCAGACCCAGGTACCTGGGTTGGGAGAGAGCTTTGGAGTCCTGAGTAGATGGATCAACAGTGGCCTAGTGCCTCTTAATACCAAACTTGATGGGGAAGAGGACAAGGATATTAGTGGACCTTAGCAGAGAAGTGTGAGGCCACAAGCTCCCCCCAGAACATACACCTAGGCTTACCCCTCTTCCAAACCAATATCAGAAATTCTTAGTTCGGCTGAATGATGCTGCCTGCTCACACCTGTTACCCCACAAGGCCCTGAGTGCACACTCTGCTCTCACTTGCTCGGTTTTCAGACTTGTGCACAACATCAGCAGGCACATGGGCTTTAGGGGCCCAAGACATGAGGACAGGGACAGCCTGGATGCTGGAGCAGAGGCCACCACAGGCTTCCTGTCAGCCAAGTTCATTGCCCCCTGTAATATATGGTGACCCACATTTTCCAGCAGCAAATGTCAGATCTCCTTCCCATCAGCGTATTCCCAAAGGAGAACAGAGGCTCTTCTCAGCCAACCTCAACAGAGGACTAGGCTCTTTTGTTTGCCTGAGATGAGCTTTCCTTCCTGCCTGCTTCCCTAATCAATCTCTCTCAAAATATCTGCAGTGAATCATGTTGTTGGAGTCATGCTTTTCACTTACAAAGCACTTCTGCATTCATTACCCAACTTAACCATCTCCCTGTCCTAGAAAGCATGCAGATTAGGGAGTTTTGTTTCAATGTTACAAATAAAGAAACTGAGATACAGAGAGGTTAGGTGACTGTCCCAAGATTTTGCAGCATACAAGCAATGGGGTAAAAATTAGAGACCTAATCTTTTGGCTCTTAGGCCATGTTATCAGAACCTAACCCCAACCTAAGCCAAGCAGCATCTGTACTGTAAAAATACATAACGGGTGTACCCCCCTTCTAGCATGCTAAGAGAACCATGATTTTGTTTGGGTGGCAATGTGCCAGTCCCAAGAGATGACTCAAGATTGAAAGGAGCCAGTCGATGGCAATCTCATTTCCATTTGACTGTGCTCAGGGTAGCAGGCACACTCAGTGAGCTGGTTTGGGTTGGGAGAGGGCTCTGAGACAAATTTTCCTCCCTGATAAGAGGCAAAAGTCACATTAAGAAAAATCCCTGTGGCTCTTACCATACTTGAATCCTCTCCCAGCCAAGCCGTCCTCTCGGTAAGACTGCCATGCACGGTCCCACCTCATTTTTGCTCCTGCTGCTCCCTCCACCTGCAGTGCCCTTATGACTCCTCTCCCTGTCCATCCATACTCAAGCTCATGTCTGTCTCCCCTGGTAAGTCAGCCTGGACTAACCAAAGCCATAGAGCCTCCTCTTCCCGAGCATCTTTAGCTCTGACTGTATGTACATGTCACTCGATTCTTAGCTCTGACAGCCTGGAAGGACCAGTGACCTCTAGATGGGCACCCACTCCCCTATAATATGAATAACTTCTCAAAATAAGATGGAATAACTGCATTCTCATTTCTTAATTCTTACCAGGGCCCAACACTCTCTTTCCTGCAAAATTAAATTATAATTTATTTCAACTTGATTTTCAATTTGATTTAATTCAATTCAATTCAGTTTAACAAACATTAAAAAACATCTACATTGTACCAGGCCCTGTACTAAACCCTAGAGGCACAGAAAGCTCATGGTCTGGAAGCAGAAACAGGCACAAAGACAATCGTTCTAGTGGTAGATTAAGACAAGAAAATCTGCAGGGCTGCAGAAACACTAGAGGTAACTTGGAGCTGGGCAAGAGCACCCCTCAAGGGCGGAGACCTCATGCTGGGGGCACTGGGAAGGGTGGGGGTTCCTGGGGGGATCCTCCAGCATCTTCTGTCTGATGTTTTAGGTATAGCAGGCCTCAATAGATGCTGGTAGAATCCCGAGTTAAATCAACAACTCTGGAATGTCTTTTCTTTGGGATTTCTCCCTACAATTCCCACTCCCCATTAGGAGGTAGTCAAGAACTGACATTGAATCACAGGCAGCTGAGAGCTGGAGGGCTCTTTCCAGGCTGGATGCTGTAGCTCTTGACTTGACATGTGGGCAGAGTGAGACCGCCAGACGGGTTAAGTGACTTGCCAAGATTACACTCTCTTAAGAGGTGGGGCTAAGAAATGTCTTGGAACTTGACTCTTTGGAAGGAAAGAGGAGAGGCAATAGCTTCTTGCTCCCCAGCTAGTAAGCGTCAGAGCTAGCACATGTTTACTGGCCACATTGAGTTCAAAGTCTGCACTCAGAGCCAGCACAGGGTGGGGCATGTGTGCTACAGATGGAGGCATGAAAGTTTAGGAGTGCAGGCAGGTGTGGGAGCAGCTGTGCAGGTATGGGTGCAGGTATGGATGCAGGTGCTGGGGGTGTGTGGGTGCCTTGCTGAGTACAGATTTGAACATGCTGCAGGTGTAAGGTGGGCTGGGACTGAGTGATGTGAGAGTGTGAGTGAGCACAGGGACGAATGTCGGTGTGACTGAGTGAAGCTTGGGTGTGAGTGAAGACCTTTCCCCTAGAGGCAGCTGAATTGAGAGAGCAGTCAAAAGCCTGATGCTGGGGCTCTGCTCACCTTTTCACCCTAACCTTGGCCTGGCCACCTACCTGTACTGTCGTCATAGACCACGGTGGCTGACCGCCACTTGAGGTACTGAACCAGGTCGAGGATGGCGTGGCTGAGAGAGGCGTAGTCAGGGTAGAGATTCACGTAGAAGGTGTCCTTATTGTCCAGCGGGTGGTGCTTCCAGCGCAGCTGGATGTGTGGTACCTCCAGGGCGTTGCAGATGGACTGGACGGCATTGGTGCAAGAGCCCTGTGATGGCCCAAAGATCGCCACCACGCCCAGTGCCAGCTGGTCACAGGCTGCAACAGAGGAAAGGAAGAACAGTACAGGGGTCAGTGCTGGGTCTTATCATGCAGCTAGGGGCTGGGGGGATGGGGGACAATGATGTTGGCGATCTCATAAACACATGGGAAAACAGCAACTGGAACCCTCTGAGGGTGGATGACTGACAATCTCAATGAATCTCTATTTTCTCATCCGGAAACCAGGGTTGTAATAGTCCCTGTCTCATGGGATCATAGGAAGTCAAATGAGATATTGCATGTAAGAACGTCAGTATAGCCCTCATGCAATAGAAACAATGGTTACTTTTGACGTTGTCATCATTGTGATTGGCTTTACTGGCTCTACACCACGCCCTGTTCTGTGTGGGAACTTGAAACAAATAGCAATGAAACACCTACTTGCTGATGACGCTGAAACTTGAAACTCCAGTCCCAACCTGTTTCCTAAAATCCAACTTGCTCATTTCATCTCTCACTCGACACCACCACCTGGAAGTCTGAGATGCATCTCAGACCTAACATGTCCAAAATGGAACCCCCTCTTCTCCTCCCAGCCTCCCCTATTTTGATAAATGGCAGCTCCACTGTCCCAGCACGTTATGCCCCAAACCCTGGTTTTGTCTTGACTCTTCATTCTCTCGTATCCCACATCCCAATTCATCAACAACTCCTGTTGTTTCACCTTCAAAATATATCAGAATATGACTACTTCCCACCACTCTTACCCTGGTCCAAGCCACCATCATCTTTCACTTGGATGACTGCAGAAGGCTCCTCAATGGTTCCAGCTTCCTCAGTGATCCTATCATCTATTTTGCACTCAGCAGCTGGAGTGAGCCTTGCACAAACTAAATGGATTACACGACTCCTTTGCTCTAAGGGTTTCCATTTCACTCAGTGTAAAAGCCAAAGTCCTTACTTTGGCAACTCCCCGCCCCATCCCCATACCTCCATCCGCACTGCTTGTCTGACTTCCTCTCCCTTCCTTTTCTCCTTTCCTTACAGCATTCAGGCCCCACTGGCTCCCATGATGTTCTTCACATATACTAGGAATCCTCCTGCCTCAGGGCCTTTGCACTTGCTGCCCCTCTGACTAGACTGCTCTTCCCTCAGATCTCCATGTGACTCTCTCCCTCCCCTCCTTTAGGTCTCTGCATCTGGGTGTCTTATTGGAGAGGAATCACTGCACAGCCTATAATAGCAACCCCAATCCAGCCACACTCCCTCAACCCCATATCGTGCTTTATTTCTTTGTTTACTAAATAACCACGGAAGTCTTGTTTATTTGTTGATCTTAAATAAATAAATAAATTTGTTTATTTATTTCTCCTCCCGCTAAAACGTAAGCTCCAAAGAGGCAAGGGCTTGATCTGCATTGTTTATTGTTGTATTCACAGTGCTCAAAACAGTACATGGTCTGAATAAGTGCTTAATCAACATCTGCCGAATGAATGAATGCTGAATCCCAGCCTTCAAACCATTCACATTCTCCGGGAGGCCCAACGGCTCAGGCAGGTCAGACAGCAGATGCTTCTGGGAAGGTCCAACATCAGTGGGCACAACACAGCATGAAATGAGCAGCCCCAGGACAGCTGGGGCTCGAAGGGGGATGTAGGCTCACACAGTGAGTGTGCCTAGAAGATCCATAAAATGGACCTCTCGGGGCAACAGGGGGAGGGCTCCCCAGGAGTCACTGCCCTTTCTTCTGGCAACTATCTCCCCTTCTACTTTGGCCTTTTCCACTTCCGACCTATCAGGGGTGTGTGAGTGACTTAGACCCTAGACAGACTACAATTGACCTCCCTGGCCACAGACATTGGTTTAGAGGATGATCATGGGACCAATTGGAGCTGATGGGATGCCATGATACTCGGTGGCAATGAGAACTGGGCATTTTCCCTCTGTAACTGGACCTGGGAGGCAGTAAGATCTGTAGGTGCAGTAGCCACCTTATCCTTACAGAGAAAGTGCAGTGCTTGCCTGTGAATAGAATCAGTGTGGTGGTGAACAGAACCAAGAGAGAAAGAAATATGAGCCCCTCGTCAAGTGGAACCCTAAACTTTGATTACTTGAATCAATACATTCTCTTTTTGCTTAAGCCAGTCAAGATTTGATTTTCTGTCACTTGCAACCAGAAAGACCTTAACTGAAGAGCATCAACAAACTCACCAGCCTGTGGCCATGGGAATGAACTATATGCACATGTATGAACATATGATACACATAGGAGGAGGCAGGACAGAGCACCTAAGCATGGATACCCAGTGGATTCAGATGCATCCTGGCTGCCTCAAGGACCTCTGGGAATGACCTACTGGGCTCAGGTCTACCCCTAAGGGCCCAGAGTCAGAGTACACATGGAGGCACATATACAATGCAGCTAAATAAATGTTGTTAAGTCAAGCTAACAAACTTACATAAAATATGCTCTTTCCTCCCACCTTGACAAATATGTACCTTCATAACAACTTGGGATGTCAGGTTAGAATGGAGACTTCTCAAATGCAGCGACAAGGGGAGAGGTAGCTCTAGCTAACTTGTACCCTTCTCTTTGACCACTGGCTCCACCCTGCACCATAAAAGGCCTTGCACTCTCTATGTGGACATCTTGGCCCTTATAACTGAGCTCTGGCCACATCTCTGCAAACATCTGCTTCTTGCTCAGCCTTAGATAGGGCCTAGGAGTGCAACCATACAGCATGACTCTCCCTCTGTAGGATCTCCCGGGGAGGAGGCTCATGTAGGCCTAGAGGTGGGTTCAGGGCCGATTGGGAAGGAAATTCAGGGTTACAGGTACTTGGAGCAAAGATTAGAAGGGCAGGGCACAGGAGCCTAATGGGCAAGGCCCCTTGGTCCCACTGATCCCTTGTCCTGGGAGGAGATGTGTACCAGAGGAGGGTGAGGGCAGCACCTTCAAAGCATAGGCCCTGGGAAAAGGAAACTCTTGCCTGGGCTAAGGGTGGTACCAATGGATCCAAAGATACAGGTTAGTTTTGAACTTGTCAGAATGTGTGGTCTTCAGAGTATTTTTCTTCTCCACTGACATATACTCCCTCCTCCCTCACTGCCTCCTGGGAATAGGAGACATTATATAAAGCGGTTATTTTTCCTGAAATTTGTACTTCCCCTAAGAACACCAGAGAATGGCATTTATGGCCTAGGTGAAAGATATAGCACTCTGGGGGAGGCAGGGTTAGTTGCTGTTAGGATTCTGCTGGAACCACCTGGGACATGGGGCAGGACAGCCATGTGTGGGAAGCAGTGGGGCCAATACAGAGGGCATCTTTTGAGTCACTAGGACTCCTATTGGCCAATGTCAAGTGCAGGAAAGGATGCTCAGTGGGGCATGTGGTGACTTCCTGGTGCTCCTACAGTTGTGGGACTGGAGTCCAAGTCAGAGAAGCACTATTTCTTCCTTGCTATTGTTACCCTGGAGTCAATAAACCTTGATAGCACTCTGTGTGGCCGTGTGTGTGAAACAAACCCCAGTGATAACAAATGCTTCAAAAATAGGAACCCTGGGTATGTTGGTAAATTGTCCAATTTAGGGACTGTTCTTTTCTGTGCCCTTGTCCCAAGGAGGCCAGTCTCTGACCAGTGCTCTCACTGCCTATTTACGTTTTTGTTCTGCTGTTTGGATGTGTGGTTATCCGTTCTGACCACTTTGTCCCTTTGAGAACAGTTGCTGCCTGAAAAAAGAGACCATGTATGAGTCATTTTGTAGCCATGGAGGCTGGATACCAATATGGAGGAAATTATGACAGTGAGTAAGTGACAGCTGTCCAGGTCTAGTCACCCCTTTTTGCCCAAGCCAAAGGCCATGGCACCCAATAAAATCTGTAGGTTTCTCTCATCCTATATCTCCTACCTCTGTTTTGAACCTTCTAGCTGTCCTGTGACATCCCAGTTCTCTGTCCCATCATCTCTCTCTACTCTTTCTCTTTTCCCTCTTGGACCTTCTGATCGATTACTTATAGTCAAATGACTGTGTGTCTCATTCCTTACCACTACCCACCTCCAAGAATCTGTATTTTTAATTTTCCCCTTTGATCTAGGCCTTGAAACAGGCAGGCAAATGCTACCCTGCCACCCTCAGCTCCACCCAGACCAACCTCTGAAGTCAAGCCGCAAAGTCCAGGTGTCCTGTTTGACTGAGGCAGGGGAGAGTGGACCAACCATCAATGATGACGATGTGGAGGGTTGTAAGAGTGATCTTGAAGGAAGTAATTTTGACATCGATTGTGGGATAATGGTAAAGGTAACTGTAATGAAATTTGTACTTCCCCTAAGAACACCAGAGAATGGCCTTTATGGCCCAGGTGAAAGATATAGCACTCTGGGGGAGGCGGGGTTAGTTGCTGTTAGGAGTCTGCTGGAACCACCTGGGACATGGGGCAGGACAGCCATGCGTCATATTGTAGGGCCATATGATGCCATACAAAGGGCCATATTGTAGGGCTGTTTTTGATCCCGATGACAGCACTGATTAGCGGAATTGATGGCAATGTTGATGCTGTGACATAACGATGGGATGGACGCCAACGCCATGGCATGGATGGCGATGATGATGGTAGAAAGGATGATGGTGATATAAACGTTGATGAAGGAGGGGGTGATAATAATGTTGGTGGTGAGGACAGTAAAGGTGGGGATGATGTCGGTGCCGGTGAGATTGGTGATGATGAAGGTGCCGGCGCATGACAGTGATGGTGATGATGATAGGGCTGGTGATGGCGGCAAGGATAAAAATGGAGGCGATAACAATTTCGATGGCATTGATGAGGCTGCTGCTGATGACGTGTCACTGCCATGACTGTAACTGCAACGATGACGGTAGAAAAGACGGCGATGATGTTGACGATGAGGAGACTGGTGATGATGAAGAGGTTGCTGTCGTGGCAGAGAGAGAGAGTATAAAAGGAGAGGCGGAGATGGTGATGTTTATGTTAGGAGTGGAGGTGATACCACGTTGACGATGATGACAATGGCTGTGGGGATGCTGCACTGGGGCTGAC